TGCGGCCGCGCGGCACCAGCGTGGACAGGTAGCGTGACACGTCGCAGGTTGCGTGACAGGAGCGTACGCGTAGCAGGCTAGCCGTGACCAGGTAAGCGCGACGCGCGGCGGGTAGCGCAGGACGCGCGGCAGGATAGCGCGCGCGTGCAGGTAGCGTGACGCTGCGCAGTTAGCGCCGACCGTGCAGGTCAGCGCCGAAGCGCACTCCGCGTGACATTGGTAGCGTTGACCGTTCACGGCGCAAGGTACAATGACAGGGCAGGTAGCGCGACGCGCGGCAGCCAGCGTGACAGGTAGCGTGACGCACGGCAGGTAGCGCGACGCGCGGCAGGTAGCGTGACGCGCGGCAGGTAGCGTGACAGGTAGCGTGACGCGTGACAGGTAGCGTGACGCGTGACAGGTAGCGTGACGCGTGACAGGTAGCGCGACGCGCGACAGGTAGCGCGACGCGCGGCAGGTAGCGCGACGCGCGGCAGGTAGCGCGACGCGTGACAGGTAGCGCGACGCGCGGCAGGTAGCGCGACTCATGGCAGGTAGCGCGACAGGTAGCGCGACACGCGGCAGGGGGTGTGTATTTTCTTTAAGAATTCCACGCGGATTTGTCCACATTGTGAACGCACGCTCGTTGATGTGATGCACAGGTACAGACACACACACGAGAAACCGCACAGGTGTACGGAGTGCGATTACTCGAGCGTCGAGCTGAGCAAGCTGAAGCGGCACATGCGCTGTCACACGGGGGAGCGACCCTACCAGTGCCCGCACTGCACCTACGCGAGTCCAGACACGTACAAGCTGAAGCGGCATCTACGCATACACACAGGTGCGTGTCAGGGAACAAATTACTTTATTTTCTCGGGAGCTCTTTTTCGAAAGTCTGTGGAAAAAATAGCTCTCGTCAAAATTTTTACGGGAGCTATTTTGAGCCTCCGGGGAGCGATTTCGGAGGTTTAAAGAGCTCATCGCTCATCGCTTCCGTGTATTGCTCCCTGGTGGGTGTTCCAGGAGGCCTGCTTGCAGGTGCGCGTTAGACGCTGAGGAGCAACGGTAGCAACAGAAAAGGGAGCTGCGGGAAATTCTTCTGCTGGGAATGTTTTGCGATGCGGCATCTTCTTGAGTATGGGCGACGAAGTGGCGGTGTGTTGAAATCGATGGTGATGTGCAAGTATGCGAGAGTGCATATGTGGGGGTGTGCTTGTGCGCGTGCACGTGTACGTGTGCGTGCGTGCGTGTGTATGCGCGTGTGAGTGTGTGTGTGCGTGCGTGTAAATGTGTGTTCGAGGTGGTGCAGCCGTCTCACTGTAGATAGATAGCGATCGTTGACTCCCTTCGCTCGGGCTTCCAGGTGAGAAGCCGTACCAGTGCGAGGTGTGTCAGGCTCGATTCACGCAGAGCAACTCGCTGAAGGCCCACCGGCTCATCCACTCCGGCAACAAGCCCATCTACCAGTGCGAGCTGTGTCCGACAACGTGCGGCCGCAAGACCGACCTACGAATACACATTCAGGTGAGCCGTGCTCGGCAATCGCGTCTCGCTGTAGTTGTGTGGCGATGTGGTGCACCGAGTGCCGTCGTTGTCCTCCTTACTGGTCACGATGCCCCCCGAAAACTGGCCGATATCGTCAGAAACTTCACGTTGTGGGTGTATCCCTCGTATGTTGACTTTTAAGTAGTGCTCATAGCCCTTCCCTGAGGGGAATGTTTGCCTTGGTGCCCCTACAACTTGCCGTGGTATAAAATGGGAAAGTGAAGGCAGTGCTTGCCTCATCTCAAACAGTCAAAAGCATTGAAATTCGGTGCCTGCTTGCAATTCCGGCACTGCTCGCTTTGCTACGACATCGAAACGCGCAAACACACCACGCAACATAATTTACCACCTCACAGACCTTTTTGGCTAGGGGAAACACTGCATAAAAATATTCCAAACTGAGGGTTCAAGAGACAACTCTGCATGACATTGCACACATCATTCCTGAAGCTTGTTTACATATTGTACATAGGCTATAATGTATTCGGTAACAAGGTATATGGTGAGAAGTGACTACAAATCATGGTGGGTTGATACAAATTTATACTTTTTTTAATACTTTTTTTAGACAATTTTGATACTTTTTCTAGACATATTTTATACTTTTTTTTTTGTAATATCCTGAGTGTCAGCACTGTAGTTGTCGGGCTCTTCTTGTGTCACTGTGTGAGGGACGAGCACGCACACACGAATCCTCCCTCTGCGTCGCTCACCTCCCCTGTGAACCTCCGCTCTACCGTGTGGGGCGTAACCATGCGTCGCGTGAGATTAAGGTCAGCTTGTTTGTGTCGATTTCGCTAGGGGGGGAGGGTTAACCGTTAGTTATCGAGTGATGGACGCTGAGTGCGATTCTAATAACCGACACGAAGCGGGTGGTGGCCGTGTCTCGGGCCGTGTGA